CATGCTGCTTTCCGAAAGCAAAGGGCGCGGGTACCCCGCTCCCGGCACAGCCGAGCACCCCCTCCCCGAGCTCACCGCTGGAGCGAGCGGAGTCACGCACTACCAGGCCCGGGGCCAGAGATTTTTTGCATATCCCTTGCAGCAGAGCCGCCTTGCTGGGGGCAGCTCTGCGGCCCCCAGTGCTGCTGCCCAGGGCACAGGCACAGATTCATGTAACTTAAGTTTTAATTGTCTTTTTTTTTGTTTGTTTGTTTTCCTTGACAAAGTAATGTAAACATAAATGAGAGAATATTTAATATTTAATACTAAGCTTTAAAAAGACTTGCTGCCACCGCAGCGTACTCGGCTCCCTCGCTGTCTGTGGTAGTAAAGGAAGGACAGTGTGTTTAGGGGAATGTAGAGCCGCTGTAGCTGATTGAAATAAAAAGGTCAATAGTTCAGTGTCGTGCTGCTGGTGTCCGTCTCGGTTTTTTGGGGTGGGTGTAGAGAAGCTGCTCGGGGCGTGGGCTGCTTCTGGGGAGAGGGCTCCGAGCACCCCCCAGGAGCGTGTCCCCTCAAAGGCTGAACGGCAGGAGCACCCGTGAGGGGCAGCGGGATCCGTCCGGCTGCGGCAGCGAGGCTGGACAGCCCCAAGGGCCAAAATAAAACACGGGAACCTCTTGGGTGTTGCGGAGGTGAGAGGGGAGGAAACGCTTCCCCGGCCGGGCGAAGGCTTCCCTCCTGGGATCAGCGAGGGTGAGGAGGTGAGACACGAGCTGCCCGTGCATCTTTTCTAGATGCCGCAACCCGGTCGGTGTCTGGGGAGTGAAGGGACACTCTAAACCTTGCGCAGAAGCGTGTGAGCGACCGCCCAGCGCAGGCGGTCAAGGGGGATTAGAGGGGAAGAGCTGAGCTGAGCAAAGCTCCTCTGGGGCAGCCGAAGCCCATCCCCTTACAGAGGGCTGAGGGAGGAGCGCCTGGCAGGGCCACCGCAGCCCCCGGGCCACAGCCAGCACCGGCAGCACGTGTCCCTGCTCTCCCCGGCAGGCGGGGAGTCGCTGCTGCAGGGAAGGGTTGTGTGGTGACCCCTTTTTTGAGAGGTTTGGATGTGGCCTGGCTTTGGGGACCAGGAAGGCAGGGCCAGGGTGGGGAGCAGGAGGTTCCCCTGCGCACCCCCCTGTCCCTCCCCGGCCCGAGCCTGCTCCCTGACAAAGCACTGGCGGGAGAGGTCACCCACATGCTCCAGGCTGCTGCTTAAATACGGGCAGGAGAGGACTCGGCTGAGTCGTCTCGCCTCCCAGCAAACCCCTAAGGAGAGCTCAGCGGTGCGAGGGCCAGGCCGGAGACCGAAACCCTGGAGCTGCACGCAGATTTGAACATTGCCCGAGTGCTCTAAGCCTGTATCAAATCAAGAGTATGGGAAAACATCTGGTGATTAACACGCACATCTGGATACACGGGGGAGGCTCCGCAGCTGCTGAGAGCCAAGTGTAATTCTCTCTCAAAGACCAGAGACTCACCCACTCCCCTACGGCCGGGGTCTCAACCGGGAACAGGAGAGGGCACCGGCCGAGTGACACAAACCAAGAAAATTGCCTTGACAATTCGCCAGAGGAACCAGGTAAGCGGCAAAGGAAGACAAGCCTTCACACACACACACACACACTCTCACTCTCTGCTTTTGCGCTTAAGGTTTTCGAAAATTACACACCAGCAGCAGCTACGCGAAACAGCAAGGTACCAGAGACGCGAGCCCCGGCAGTCCTGGAGCGGTTCTAGGCCAGGCAGGGGGGTGGAAACAGGAAAATGTCGCTTTCACAGGATGACAGGACATGGACGTTCAGGATCTCGCGCGTGCATGCAGGCTTCGTACAACGCTAATTCACCCACTGGTCGACCATTACTGTGACCGCTTCTCTGTTATTTCCATCCTCTCCTCCTACTACAGGGGTCTGACTTAGTTTCCTGACAGAGCGCAGAGGTCAAGCTCCTTCCTGGGCAGAGGAAAAGCCACGAAGCGGCTCAGATAATATTACGCAAGTCTTTCTGAATATGGGTATTCTATCAGGAACTGCCAGCAAACAATAGCATTAACTAGTATTAACAACAGAAAACCTCACCGGATATGATTTTTTTTTAACTGCTGGCAAAAGGGAACATGCCTCCACAACTGGAGTTTAAGAACAAAAACACGGAGCAGACGTTTTAGTTGTGCTCGGGACTGGATCCGAGGTGAAAAGGCAAGAGGCTGCGCTGGCAGCACGCAGGCAGGTGCAACGCTTCCCCCTCCAGCCCCCACAGGCCCACGCGTTCTCTGTTCGGGGCTCCTACACACGCCTCACCGCAGTTCTAGGAGGGGGAAGCTGTCTGCGGTGTTCCCTTCCAGGCCCGCTGCGAGGGCCGCAGTAAGCAGCAGCGGAGCTGAAGGATTAGTTTGCTGCCGCCTCCTGCTAAAAGGGGCTGAAAGCCTTGCGGGTTTAGGGGAAGGCGGAGGTACGGCTGCAGCCTGCGGATCCACAAAAGGCAGATTCTGCTTTAACCAAAGAACTTGGGCTGCGTGGCGGCAGCGGAGGAAACAAAGAACAGCAGCGAAATATATATTGCTGGAAGTAATTTTCACTGGCTTGCACATTTTCCCAATAATATTCACTTTAGGAATGTAAAACTGCGTGTAGATGAATTGTTTTCCTTAAGCTGAAATACATGTAGCGACCTAAATCCGACGGGGAAGTGGCTAAATTCCAAGCTGCGTTCACTGCGGATGGTCAACGCCACATCCCAGAGAAGCCTCCAAAGACTTTCACTTCAGTCCATGTCCAAAGGATGACAAGACTCCATGTGGTCCTTGTCTTAAATCAACGTGTATTCTATCAGACATGTATCAACACTACAGCAATGGAATCTATCATGAATAAATAGATCTGTCATCTTCTGAAAGTTCTCCTGTGCAGCTTTACGCTGAAGAGTGCTGAAGGTCCTCTTGGCATGGTTTGTGTAAGAGACTACCACTGGTGTAAAGACATACCACATCTCGGTCCTCCAGCATTTTAAATTACAGCCCGGGTACAACATGGACTAGGAGAATGAGGATAATCACTGGTACTGTCTGTAGTCGCCAAATGGAGAGGGCTGCAGCTGGGAGGGGTCATCTGAAAACTGAGGGCCTGCGAATAAGGCAAGAGAAGAAAAGGCAAATATTAGGAAAAGACAAGAGATCCTTCCTCCTAAAAGCATGAAACACATTCACAGCATTTTTAATATAAATCCCCTCTAAAATTAATGAAGCCAATAACAAGACTTTACATTGGATTTTTTTTTCATTCAAAGGAGTTCAAGAGCTTTACGCGTTGACAAGAGCCTCAGTCCAACACAGAGTATCTCCTTTACTAATGGGGAAATGAATCGGAGCAGTGAGAGGGAAACATTTTCAGTCGCCTAAAGGAGCTGGAAACCTATGCCTTATTGCCCTTCAGCTGAACTTAGCCACTCTGTAAAGGTTTACCCACGGCGACTTGCCCGACAATAAAGCAAGCCAGTGAAACGGAACAAATGATTGTGGAGTCAGCTTCCCGACTCCTCTCACCGACGTTCTGCTGGAGGGAAGCAATACATTTACTGTATGCTAATTTTAGAGAGAATAAATTGTAACGGACAGATGATACCCCTTCTCTAACGCAGATTTAATTTTAAAATGCCTTTGTATTAAGAACAGAAATTGTTATAATTCAGATTGAACAAAGAACATCAGTGAACAAAGCTGAGAGGGAAGCCTCTCGGGAATTAGTGGCTTGCTACTAATCCCTTCAACAAACACTAGTGTTTTTGTCTGTATTCCTCCCAAAATAAGGTGGGCCAACAGAGGTATGGAGTATTTTGCACAGGCAAGTATTTACACAAATGGTTACCGACTCGGCTAACTGACACCTCAGCCTGCATTTTACTTAGGGGGCAGGAAAAAAAAAAAAGGGATCTAGTTTTTGAAGTAGTTTAGGAAAAAAACGCCGCCGCCAGCAGCCCTCTTTGAAATCTTTTATCTGTATCTGCCTGCTGATCTTGATCACCTCATTTAAACGAGGGTTGCCCGCACATTCACCCACAGAGCATAGCCAGCCTGCCAGCAGCGTCCCTCTTGCCCGCGGCTTGCTATTCCCTCAAACCTGCTGCGTCACCCGCCGCTGACTACAATACTGCTGCCACCATCTGACAGCTTGCGTGGCTGCATCAGGGGACAGGGCAGAAGACGGGGACAGCGGGGTCGTCCCTGCTTTCAGCCATGCAGCCTCCAGCCACCCAGTGGGGAGGAGCTGATGACAGTCTGGTGTCACCGGCAGCGTGCGGCTCCTCCTTGACTTTCTACAGCCTTAGAAGCTGGCAACCGGCAGAGTAGATTCACTCTGTGGTAAGACTGATGACTGGAAGAGGTACGCTAGTAAAGACTGCACTATAAAAGCCTGGCGATGCCACAGTCCGACGGCTCCTTACCGTTGGGAAACTGTGTGGAGGCAAATCTTGTTAACAGAATACCAGCTCCTTCGATTAAAGCTAGGAGAATTCCTCCCATCGCAGCAGATCCGACCATGGCAACAGGTCCATCTAAAAATAAAAAGCACAAAACGACACTTTTTACTTCTTTGGTGCATTGCTTCGCATGTTACAGCTCTCTTTCTTTAGTTACAATCTCTCCTATAAGCAGACTCAGAAGCAGTAATTTTGCATCCATTAAGCCTCATTAGCATCACCAGTAAAGGGATAATTAGTGGGCAACTCTTCCTCAAGGAAACAAAGGAACACCGCTAATGTTTGAGAACATAATTACTACTTTCATAAGCACAGGACAAAAGTTTCAGATTATCTTTCAATTTCTCTGAGGAAGTAAATTCCAATTTGGGTATCGTAGACTGTTGCGTCGCTGTAACGATGAGAACTGTACATTCAGAGTACAGAAGTTTTTCAGCTGATATCCTCAGTTTCTTACTTCTTGCAGCTAATATGGCTCCAGTCAGGGCTCCGCTTGTGATTGAATTCCACGGGTCTTCTTTCCCTCTCATTCTGACCATACTGCAGTCAATCATGGAGAAGAGACCTCCCCAGACAGCAAAGCTACCTGTTAAAAAAACCCCAAAAACCGGTTTAGAGAAAGCAGCCGCGCTGCAGCCATGTAATCAAGAGATGGTGTAGTATTAGCGTGCTTGCTTTCAGACGTGGAAGGATACTCAGACCCACAAAGAACCAAACGCAGGTTAAAATCAATACCGCGAAAAATTCTCAACTTGCCAGGTGACACACGTATTACACATACACACGTTTCATATATCATCTCACTAATTTATATTTAATGACAGAAAGCTTACCAAACAGTGATGATAACGGAACTTCCATCCTAATAAAGCCAGATTAGCTCAGGGAACTTTCATATTTTTCACTTTTTAAACATATTTCCTCATAGAGAATGACACAGAGTAATTTCGCACCTTATCCTAATCCTGCTCCTGGCATCTCAGAAGATGGGCACTGGTCGGTATTGTATGGCAGATGCAAAGAGAATGCAAGTTTTCAGAACGCAAATTCTGAAGTCTTTTAACAACAATGTGTATTATAAATTAAAATAAATACTGACCTCCGGACTCATTTGGGGAAAAATACTATTTAGAATAAGCTCAGCCCTCCTTAATTTGAGGTGTCTAACGCTTTATACCAGATTAACACCAGCTAAAAACCAGGAGGTGCCTCTCTCTGTGCACAGTCCCCGCAGGCTGCAGCCACAAAGCCTTTTCAGCCTGCGGCCCCGATTTCTTTGCAGCCAACGGTTCCGTGCTCAACACCACTCTCCCCTTTTCTCCTGTAATGCATTAATTCAATTTGCCTGTCAGAACGGCCTAATGGCACAGGGCAGCGCGTGGCCACAGCGTGACCTTTAAGAGGTCACGGCGCCACTTTGACTCAAGCTGCGGCTTTGTGATTTTTACACTTCCACGCGCAAAACTCGCTTCACAAAAATGACTGAAATTTACCTAGCTGACCCCAGGGGAACAGTCTGAAATCCTACCCAGACCGACCCATCCACTTCATTGTTCCTCCAAGTTTGAGCGTTCCTTTTAATGAGTCAGTTTTGTTTATTTTAAAACCCCGCACACAATGCACAGGCTCCCAGGCAGCTCTGCACAGAGCTGCTTAAAATATGACAAAATCATTAACCCTGGCTTATCACTCCATGAACACAAGCGTGTTTCCTCCACACCAAACTAGTTCTGGATGCATCAGAACCGTGCTTACTCATTGCTTGGACTAACAAACCCCACTGAAACACAGCTGGCCCACAGCTCAGGTGTCACTGCGCTTGTGCCACGTGATATTCCCCGGTTATCTACCAACAGTCAACTGACTGCAACAGCAATACGAAATTAATTACCTCCCAGTTGCGGAGCTCTTGTTCTAATAGCTGTCAAACTTCCCCGCAGCCGGTGGTTTACACCCTACAATAAAAGAGCAATGACAGTTAAAATAAAAGAGTGAAGTCTTACAGCCAATCTGACTTGTATATAGCAAAAACTTGCCACGGGCCCAACATAGGTCTAAGCTCCCTCAACAGCTGTGATCAGGAGCTGACAGAAACCGCATTTTACACATACTTTAGTATTTATCACTCCCTTATAATACACCTGTCAACTACAGAAATGAATTACAGCCATCAGGCATTGAGCAATTTGAGTTCAGAGTTTGCCTGAGTGGCCTAGTGGGGACTGAACGAGACATCTGAAGTAACACTTCTAGCAAGATAAGCATATTTATTTTTCCACGTCTATCGTTTCTTTGTTCCCATCTGACGCCCAGTCGCTTGACGCAGTTTGCACAGAGGACACCAGCGGAGCAAACAGCAGCATGCAGGTAACCGCAGGGAGGAGACTCTGTCCACGGAGAACAGGGAAACCCACCCAGAGGAAGGGTGCCACGGGGCCGCGTTTGAGGAGACCTGCACGCTGTCGTATTAGGTTTCCAGCAGTGTTTTACCTACTTTAGTACAAACCACCTCAACCCTGTCGCAGACGCCCATGTACCAGGAGCACTGTGCTCGGCTGGCAGCAGCAATCTCACCACTTGTCCCAAATTTAGTCGTTCCTGCTGGTCAGGTGGAATATTTAGTCCTTGTCTCATCAGCCCAGTCCCAGTAGCTAAGAGAAGCAAGCAATCTAAATGTAATTCTAAATGCAGCGCTGAGCCTTCCAGAGTCATCCGGGACCCCACAGAATTATGACTGTTTTTTAAAGAATGTTAAATTTAAATTTAAAGTTAAATTTAAATGTTAAATTTAAAGAACATACACCCAAGTTTTATTTTTGATACAAGCACTCAGAAGCGTGGACAGGTTTATTTAATACGTCTTAAGCAAAATTAAGAATGGCATAAAGCATATAATCCTTTTCAAGTTAAGCATCTGCAGGCTCTGACTGGTTTGGAAACATTTATTCACGAAACCTACCTCAAACTGATGGCTTATTAAGAAAGTTTAGGCAAACAAATTGTCACATAGTAACACCAAAAACCACTCAACAAAAACCCCTTTTATATGAAGCCAGGGAAATGTTTTAAACCAAACGTTCAAGTAGAAACAGGATCTTATTTTATCAAATGTCTCTACAACAGGTTTATAGCAAAAAATTTACAGCAGGAATCCTGGAAGTGGAAACATCTTAAATGACTTGCATCGGCTAAACTTCAACTTTCACATTCACACACACTTCTGCATTTAAACAAAACCTGACTATCAAAAAAATCCAGTTAATAAAAAATGTTAATAATTAAGAAATTAATTAAAGAAAGTAACACCCCCTAATATAAATCTGCAGGCGAAAAAGATTCTTCCTTTGAGTCTTTCCATTTCTTACAAGAAAGGGAGAGGCGTAGGCCAGAGGAGGAAGGACAGCCCAGGCTTCACATCTTTACGCGCAGACAGAACCAGAGGCAGATCAGCCGAGATGGACATATTCTGCTGCGCCCTCCACTTCCCCGTCCTGAGGGAGACGTCTCTCAGCGAGGGAGGGCAGCCGGCTGCCGTCAGATCAAACAGGGAAAGCAGAGCTTTCACCCAGAAAGGTGAAGGACCCATCTGGATCACAGGCAGGCCGCTAATCAGTCCCTTTCACCGCACAGGGATTTCTCCTCCTTTACCTTCGGCTGGCCAGATTCACTGTTGACGGACAGATAAAGCAGGACTGCACTCCGAACGCACTCTCAAGTGATTTTACTTACCACTGGGGAATTTCTGAACCCCTTGATAGCTTGGAAAATGCCACCTCCAATCGCTCCCATTGTGAAAGCACCTCCGCAGTCATCTATTATCCTCCAGGGACTATAAAGAAAAACAAAGATGAAAATACTAAATTCCATCACGTTAAACCGTGCAAGTAACTGTCACGGATCCACCACTCATGCACTGAGCGTAACCAGGGCGAAAATGAAGCCTGCCAGCTGTATTGTCTCACATCCAGCTTGCTGAACAGACATCAACAAAACACACGCACAGGCAGTATCACAGCAAAACAAACTCGAGGGTCGCCGAGAGCCTACCACCCCGTCTCCCCGGAGCGGTAAGTATCAAATATACAGAAGAATTGCCTGAACTCCTCACACAAGGCAGAAAGACGTATTTCCATCACAGAAAACTTCTGCAGAATTCCAGCTCTGCCCTATTTATGGAGCGCAAATAGCTTTAAATTTATTGTTCTCGTTTTCTGGACAGAAAACTTAGGTGGCAAATTCAGTGCGACTCAGTTCACGGCTGGCACAAAACACCGCTTTCCCGAACTACTCACGCTTTTCATTAGTTCTCGTTACTTAAATGAGAGACTTCAGCCACCTTTTGTTAAAGTGAAAAGGTTTTTTCCTGATGCATCCTGGATCTTTGAAGTTCATTCAAAGAAAAACCAGATCTAGTCACAGGTCCAGAAGGCCACGGTTCCTGCCTCCAACAACACGGAGCGTCGAATGTTTCCGACCAGCGAGCAAAAGCTTTGCAACACAGAGCACCTTCCTCGCCGCAAACGCTTTCAACACCGGTGAGATGAGCTTTAATTTGGGGTTCAAAACCGCTGCCCAGCACTACAGCCTTGGAACTCTCCACCACTAAACTGAACTCCTAAACTAGGTGAGCACTAACCTGCTATTAACCTCTGTTGCCACTGCTGGTAATTTCGAAGCATAAAATAACAAAGTCATTTTGTTTCTTTCATCTTGTATCAAAATCTTACAGCAGAAGCCAAGCACTCAGATGACCGTAACTCCTGCACTGTCAATAATCAGAAAACCTAGCAAAAAAAACCCAGACTACCACAACACGCGGGGTCACAAAACTGAACACTACGGCAAGCTCAGTGTTCACGTTAGCAAATCACAGATAGCAGCACCGACGCGCGTTTCCGATTTCACTCCGAATTTCACGTTTCTGTTCTCCCTATGGCATCCAGCTCCTGCACGTGAGAATACACCTTCGCTGATCCGTTTTGAACCTGCCGCTTTTCCACTCCACGGACTACACTAATGCTCTTCTGCTGTAAGGAGGGACAAACACCATCGCTTGCCCCCAGACCCCTCGCTGTACTGCCTGTTTTGCCACGAGGTGGGTTTTTCCTTCCTGAAAAAAAGGTCTAAAATTTGCAGTCCCTCCTCCTACACGTTCTCCCAGGCTCCTCGCTTTCACGACCTACTTCTGAACCTCTCCCTACCTCTGCCCTCGCTTTAATGAGAGGGCGTAGCCAGCTCCGCACGCCTTCTAAACGAAGGTAAATTGCTTGTTTGCACAGGTGGCCTCGTCCGCTTGCTTTGCTCTTGCATCCTGGCATGGCCTGGCTGTTCGGAAGGCCCCAGGACCCCACCCAGACGTCACCACTGGTCCTCCCCAGTGACAGCACATCCAGGTCCCAAACCCACGCTGATTAGAAACCAGTGGAAGGATTGTACGTTATCCCACCACGCATCACCCTTCTTTTTTATTGCTCTGCCCGCAACATGCTTTCATCTCATTCCTCACAAACCCCCTCCAGCCTTGGCTAAATTAAGTAATTTAGCCCCATTTCACATTTTATTTTCCTTCCCCTATTTCCTGCATTTAATGATCAGGAAAAGGTTACAGGCACACTGTTGTCAGAGATGCCAAGATGAAAAACGACTAAGTCTTTCTTCTCGGGGTTTTTTTTTTGTTGTTTTGTTCTTCTCCACGTCTCCTGTCCAGATTTTGATCTACTCTGTTTTGAATAAAACATCTCATCACAAATCTCTTCCTCCGTTAGCTTGCAAACAGTGACCTTGTTAAAAGGCTTCCTGGAAATCTAAATAGATTATGTCAAGTGGTCTTCCTTTACTCACAAGGCCAAAGAATTCCAATTTAGCAAATTGTGCCTGTTCTTTACTGAAACTATGTTAATTAGACCCCAACCGCGGAATGCTTTCCCAGATTTTTTTTTTCCATCTTTAACTCTACTTCAGATGTCAAGCTCATTAGCTGTTACCTTTGGGGTTCTAAATTTTCCTCTTAAACTATCCTCCAAGCCTCCGCAAGAGCAGCTTTTAAATGAGAAAATGTCTTTGATACCAGCACCGCCATTTCGTATGTCAGCTCCCGGAGAGACGCTGCGCGCATCTGAAAGCCGACACAAAACACCCCACAGCCCCTGGCAGCGCTTGACTTCAGTAGAGGAGAGAATCAGAAGAGAATGGAAGAGATTATTCCATTATTAATTTAGCACTTATCTACAAGCTTAAAGTTACTGTTAATTGCTTCCCTGACTTTAAGGGGACCCCTCCCAGTAGGGAAATGATGTGCTCACTGCTACAGGCAAGATAAGGTTGGATTCCTACTCCCGATGGCAACCGAGATCGCTTAGAGATGAGGAGAGCAGAGGCCAGGACTTCGCTTATGCCAGGGCCCCGGGGCAGCCACGTACCAGCTCCACTGACCGGAGAGGCTGAGGATACCCCACACCTCAGATCACACCCAGAGGGAGCTGCGGTGGCTTACAGCACTGTCTGGCTCGATAAAAAGAAGAGAGGGTGGCAGGCAGGGCCAGCGGAGCAAGGAAAGCCAGTGGGTGCCACGCCAGCTCTGACCACCCGTGAGCTCTTAGGGGGGTGAAGCATCCCTCCAAGCTCCTGCAGCTCTTCTAACCACCGACGAACCACGAGAGTCGGAGGCCGCCGCGTTTTAAATGAACAAAGCTGCCTTTTCTCAGCGCCGACGGTTCAGCAGGGCGCCAGCCTGACACCAGCTCTGCTGCAGAAGGGGCAGCACTTCACCCTCGTCGTCGAACCGTCATGACATGCCAGCCTGAACAGCCTGACCTCCGCCTCCCCCGTCAGCCGTTCAGGCCGTTCCCAGCACAGACGAGACTACGCAACGATCCGTGCGTCCAACGAAGGCGACTGCGATGCAAATTACAGCCAGGTCCTACAGTGTCACCTTCCAGCGAGGTCACACTGCTCCCAGAAACAGCAACCCCCGGGGGGCTGAAACCCCCCACGTTGCTGCGGGGGGAGAGAGATAACGGGGTGACCAGCAGCAAAACGGGACAAAAACAGCGTGGGGCCCCCGACGGCCCCCCTGCAGCTTAGCAGCAAAACGTCCCTATCGCATGACCTTACTAAAGGGAGAATGAGATTACCTGGAGCCCACAGCAATCAATAAATAAATAAAATTTACTTTGCTAATGTCCCAAACTTTGTGCCGTAGAAAGGCAGAGCTGACATTTACGGAGAAACTTAAAACGTGGCAGCAGAGCAATCTGCAAAGCTTCGGGAAAAGCTTCGTGAACAGTCACGGGTCTCCATTTGCAGAGGCGAGCAGAACGCTGCATACTTAATCCCGAGCCCAAGCTTTCACTTGAACGTTTTATTACCGCGAATGAAACCTTTACGTTGCAACCAACGCGCCTGCGAACGTTTACGAAGCCACTACTGAAACGTGACCGGGTTTAGGTGCCGCCAGCTCGGCGGTAAGGCTGCCTGCGCGGCCAGGCCGGCTTACTTCGCCCCGCCGGCGCGCTCCCGCCTCACGGAAGCGGGGGAAGGAGAAGGGCGGAGGCACCGGGCGGAGGCACCGGGCGCTGAGGGGGAGCGT